CACCACCACCATCACTGCCAGCTCCCCCCCCGACATCTTATAGTACATCATCCGCTCAGTCATCCGCCTCCTCTTCCCCTTCTGCCTCTTCCTGCTTCACTTTGCATGCCTCCCCTTCGTCATCAACCTCATCATCAACACATTCATGGTCCGATCAGCCATCACAAAGGCCCCATTGGCGGTGGCATCCATCGTCAGATCAGCCGTTGCAGATACCTCTTCAGCGGAGACGTTCCCAGTCTCCATCACCGCCTCCAAGACAGCGGCCTCATTTGTTCTTGGACAGCATGATCACCGCTCTGCCTGCAGGGGTCGTAGATCTACTCCGATGCCATATTCGCAACCGTGCGGAACGACGCCGTCGCTACTAGCTAGTCAGGAATAGTAGATATCTAGTCCGATGACAACAATCTGGCGACGACTTCTTCAGTGCTGCTGGCCTGTGTGTGCACCAGACATGGGGCGCAGCCACCTGTGCAGTATTTGCACGACCAGCAGCCACCCTGAGCATAAGTGCGGCTGACGAGCTTCTGCCCGGCCCCAATTGACAATGATTCCCCTTCTAATCACTTAATGGAGCCCCCCACTGACGATGATCTCTCTCCGGAGCATATGCTAGAGCACATGGAGTTAACACAGCCGGAGGAAACTGACAGAAACAGTCAAGACCACAATGAATCTCCGCCTACCATGCAATCTGCAGGATTGAATGAACCTTGCCCTGCTGCACAACCTGCAGAATCAGATGATTGCATAGTGCTACAGTGAGTCCACTGTGCGTACTATGCCATTAATGTATGTCCGTTTACAATTGCAACCCTTATACGGTTTCTGATTTTGCAGATATCATTCTCTGGATAGAAGAAGAGGACCGTGCTGTCTCCCCAGAGGGCGACAGAACTACACCTGCTGTGAACATAGAGGTCCTGCCTGCTCCACAATCACATGCCAGGCATGGGTCCAACTATGTGCGTACATCCTGCATCGTCCAGGTCATTTTAGTGTTGTAACTTTATCGGATAATTCATGGACCCTATGGGATAATGGCAGTAGGGTGCACACGGCGGGAAGTATTAATTCTTTCTATCACCAATCGGTTCATTCTCACTCGAGCTGGCTCGTGCATCAGGAACAGTATGTCGCTGTGCAGTTGTAAGCACTACAGTCTCCAGAGAGCAGTCCAGCTGAACCTCCTCCTTCCCCTGTACATGGTCAGGCAGCATCCACTCCCTACATAGATTGGACAGATTCTACCACAGACAGCGAAGGGACCTCTCAAGAGGATGGTAGCTATGCCCTCCCGTTGTGTCGTCGCGCAGCTACAGTTTGGTTAGCATGCACACAGCATAGCCTCTGCTCCGGACACTACGAAGGGATGGTCACTGCCAGCCTCTGCCTCAAAAACTGCGATGACCCTATGTCTTGTATTCATACGCCCCCCCCCCTCCCTACACACACGCACTCAATGACTTGCCCAGCATGGTGCCATGGCCTTGATCTGTCATTATTAAATAGCTGAGAACGACACCCTGCTTTCCTGCTGATATGTCAGCAACATTCCATGTGTCATCAACGTTTCCAGGAAGCTATATTAGAAAGTATGTGTGCCCCTATGCGTGGGCTATCCCTGATGCCATCATCCTCCGCATCCTCTCCTAGTCTGTCCCACATGCAGTGTTGGGCATGCACCTACTGCAACAGCAGACGGATTTCCTTCTTCCTTGCTGGACGAACGACGGAAACAGCAGCCTGAGGAGGAAAATAGACTACCATATGAACCACCTACAGAGCACTGTACTGAAAGGTTATCGCCAGCAGGCCGAGCTGTTGCAGACCAAATCCTGGGGCAACTAAACGCCCTTGCTTTGGGTCAATCCCCGCCGTCGTCTGCCCATAGAAAGGGAATATATACTGGGCAAAGTCACCTTCTCAATGCCTCTGTGATGACCCACATCTGAGATTGGGAAGAGGAGCTGCAAGAACAAATGAAAGGCGTACCCCAAAGAAAGCCAAAGTAAACACATTTGACAAAAGGGATTTCATGTTTCGAGTTTCGACTTTCAACAGATCTGTTGTGCTCCATGTTACTTTACTATAGAGGTAAAACTGTTTCATTTTTGGAATGTCTCAACTGAATTGAGCTTCGTTGTCTGCAATAGGACTCAAACGGCTTCAATTTTGGATCTGTACTCATCTGGGTGGAATAGGGGCTGTTGTGGTGGAAATCCAAGACACACTTAGAAAGAAACACAGCAAATCACAGCAGAAAAATACGGAAGCAAGCAGCAATACTCAGAAAACAGCAGGGTTCGCAGTTTGCAATCAAACGGCTTCAATTTTGGATCTGTACTCATCTGGGTGGAATAGGGGCTGTTGTGGTGAAAATCCAAGACACACTTAGAAAGAAACACAGCAAATCACAGCAGAAAAATACGGACGCAAGCAGCAATACTCAGAAAACAGCAGGGTTCGCAGTTTGCAATTTTGCTGGCTATTACAAAAGCGCATTTCTGAGATGAAAATTGGTGACTGTTTGGACCATGGAAAGGAGAGTCGATTCACAATTTCACACTTCAAAGCATTCCTGACTGTCTTGCATCTTTTCCAGACTGATTCTTTTTTCTTTTCTTTTCTTTTCTTTTTTTCTTTTTTTGGACACACAGCTCCAGTCTATCATGGCTGAAAATCAGAACCACTGATGTGTGAAGGTTGTTACCCGACTTGGGACTGGCTCTTTTTTTTTTTTTTTGGGGGGGGGGGGGACTCGGGACTGGCTTATCTCATGGTTGTTGTTGCTGAACTCAGCAGCAGAGTGATCTGACCACTTTGCGCTGACTGTCGCACTTGCAGCCACTTCATTGTGTGAACCGATACTCCAAATCGAATATTCAAAAAGGTGGCGATCATCGAGGGCAAGACATCATGTTGAAGAATTCGCACATTGTGACGGTCAAAGATCTACATAACTTCTGGTAAGAGCAAATTACATCACTTGGTAACAATTGGCGCAGAATTTGCCCCAACGAGTTCCTGTTATCCCCAAAAAAACACCTTCCAGGAGGAGTCCGTAGATCGTAGATGTTTAGTATTTTAAAAAAATAGCCTCCTTGGGGAAAAGTTGGAAAACCAACCAACGGTGGGTTTAAAACAGTAAATGCATGTCGTAGGTGGAAATTGCAATGAAAAAACGAAAGAAACTTGGAATTACGAAACTGTCAAAAACTGAAAGGAGCGAAGTTCAGGAATCATGGAGATGTCCGTTCTTGGGAGTGTCAGTCCCGTTCCTTTAAAAACAAAAACAAAAAAAAACAAAGGGCGATGGCCTTGAGATACCATCATTAAACTGACCGGCCCCAGGTAATTCAGAATTTGTTTTATTCTGGTGGTCATCTGATTGCGTCTGGATTTGAACTTGGGTCTGCCTGTATTTCAACAGTTTGTAGGTGTACCAACTGCGCTACGTACGCCCGTTGGTGTGTCAGTCCGGTTCGTATTCTACCGGCAAGGCGGAAATACAGATGACAACACACTCACAAACGCTTCGCGCCATGATGGATGGAAGACCAGAGGGGCGGCATTGATTGCTTCCAGTCTGGAAGGATGTACCTCCCCTCACCCCTGCCTAAGTTACCCTGATGCTACAGTTCCCCTTGCTGCTTGGTACCTAATAAAGCCACAATGCTCTTGAAGCTAGTTCTGTGATTTCGTAGCGACGTAGGAAAGCGATGCTCCCATACCTTTCTCGGTCTTTTGGCGAAGATAAAGTATAGTGTCTGTTCTGATCAGTTTAATATCTGGTCCATGGTCCACCGGACTACATTTAAAAAAAAAAAAAGAAAAAAAAAAGCTATGATCCTCTCAGCTGATTGCTGCCTGAATAAGGCTCTGCAAATTTGCTTAAAAAAAAAAAAAAAAAAACACTTAAAAAAAGACCACGAAGACGTTTTTGAATGGTGGTCAAAATTCACAAATGGTGCTTGTCCAGGCGCTAACGGTGTTCCTTTGATATGTATTGACAGTATTGGTATTATTATTATTGTGGTGTACTAAATTACTAATGGCATATTCACACTACCTTCTTCCCCCAAACATAACGCGCCATCGTCATGAACATATGCAAAAGCCGTTTCGGTCCAAATACAGTCATGATGCTGGGACATTGTGTTAAGGGGAAGAAGGTAGCACCTTTTCCTGCGCATATTTGATGTGTTTTCTGGGCCGCAAATTTGCCATGTTTGGTGGGTGTTTGGTGGGTGGGGTCCTCGCACTGGTGGCATACTCACAATGGGACTTGCTGTGTTTGGGGCGAGGGGAGAGAGGGGTTACGGTGTTACACCCTGCAAAGATGCATCTATTCGTGTTCAGCACCTCAAACAGCCGGCTTACACTGGCATGCCCCTCTGACGGCAGCTCAAATTTGTGAAACATCCCCTACATAGCTTGGGCCTGACATCTTTTCAGTAATGCCCCTATTGATACCCGTTAAACTTTTCCAGATACCCCTGTAAATATGGCGGTTGAGAGCATGGACTAAGACATTGTGATTTGTCCCTACTGCTAAAGGGCATGCGGCAAATTGCCCGGCCCTTTGGTAGGAGTGTGCCGAAAAGATTCCAGACCAGAGTGCCATGCCCGTGTGAGTGTTACATCTTCGACCCCACATGGGTCCTACCGGACCCGACTTAGGGCTAGAGGGACACATCAGGGCCTAAAGGCCCGACCTTGGGGTACTACAGGCCATAAAGGCCTCACCTTGGACCAGACCCGACAGGCAGGCCCAAATGACATTACCATTTGGGCCTGGCGGCGCTCTTGAGGCTGCCGCCCGCCGGTTGGGGCTGAACCGTCCATCTGGACGGTTCAGGGCACAACAAGGCCTCACAGCAGTAAGGCCGGCCTCTGCCACCGGTATAAAGAACCGGTCCGGCCTCACTCAGGGGATCGACCCACCGGTATACTACGGTGCGGTAAGGTCGGCACCAGAATGTCGTTGGAGCGCTATGTTTAGCGGAGGAGTGAGGAGCAGGCAGCACGG